AAATATTATATAGTTATTCAATGTTTTATTTCAAAAATGAAATTTTAATCGTGATAACATGTTTATTATTAAAATATTTTTTAAATTTAAAAACATATTGTGTATACATTTATAAAAATACGATTGATGAGAGGAAGCATGGTTAAGGGGACTACTGAATTATTTTCATCTGAGTACATTAAAGTTTCTTAACGTTTAGGAATAATTTTTATTTTAAAGGTCTTATTTATTTAATAGTTTTATCATTTGGAAAACATAGATGCAGATTCAGGCCCGTGCACAAGTTGAGGGGTTCTAACCCTCCATTGAGGATCTTTTTATATACATTTTTACAAAGAATACATATAGCTTCATTCTATAAAAACTAAACCGACTTGTCATTAAGTCAAAGTGAATAATTAAAAGTTTATAAATACATAGTAGTTAAATATTGTGTAATCAAGGTGAATTCTTTTGAAAATGTTTCATTAAGTAGGCTTTTGGTTTTGTTATTGCAACAAATGCTTCTTAAGAGGATTTAGCATGGACCTCAATCTTATCCTTACCCCTTCCACGCACATTCATATGTTTAATAGAACACTCTGTATGTCGTGCGAATCATATTAGGATATTAATAATAATATTATTATTGTGAGACGAAATATTGATTTTAGCGTTTTAACAATTGTATACACGTTCTGCAAATACATACAAACATAAACTTTTCGTATGACGTATTTAAACCCCGTATTGCGTGACCTAACCATAACAACTTTGCGGTGTTTTTATTTTTTCTTTCCATACTAATGTTTGCAACCGTCTTCGCTGCGTCGCTTACGCACATACTCGGTCAAGGTCTCTACGTTGGTATACCACCACACCCCTTCCGATTCACACACACTCCCTCGGAACAACTATTACCGCCACCTAGCTCTCTCTCCTGGATACTAATCCTCTAGTAAACATTGTTCACCTTGATGTAACTACATATAACGTGAAGCGGTTTTAATAATAATAATAATAACAATAGCAATAATAATATACGTATAGTATGTGACTCGTGCACCTGAACTCATTATATTTATGTTTAGAGACCCTACCTTTTATATTCTTTAATAAAAAAGAATTTGTACCGTCTTCAAATAGGTAAAACAGTGGTTCTCAACCGGGGTCACATGGACGCAGTTAGGGGTGACACGAAATCTCCAAAGGAAAATGAAAAAAATAAAAATAATTTTATTAAAATCATATTATTGCTACAACTATTATGTAAATAGCATACCTTTCAGTTTGTGTCTTTAAATTATTTAGATCCGATAAATACGTACAGTATTTTGATTTGCGAAATTGCTGCATTATCGATTAGGTATCTTATTGATTTAACTGTGCTCGATAGTCAGTTATTTTGCAGTCGCTAGATATGTAGTGTTATAGCTCTACAACTCTAGAAGACAATATGAAACTAGGTCTTTCCACTATATTAATTTTATTATTTTTATGCTGACAGCCAATGTTTTGTTACCTACAGGTTTTAATTTTTATGAAATTAATTTGCTCAAATTATAATTAATAGGTGAGACGATTGTACATTTAAATATTATCTTAAATTTTATACATAATCGGTATATTATCACTAGGTCTATAATTGTAAAATATATCATATGAATTGAATTTGGTTCAAACAAAAATGATAACTGTTATCAGAAATAAAAAAAAAAATGATGTTATTTGTAACGCATTACTTTATTCATGAAAAAGTAATGTAACGTGATAAAAATTAATTTAGATAACGTAAATGTAATTTGAATAAAAATATTTGAAGTAACGAATAACGTAATTTCATTATTTTTTAAAATTAATTTACCTAACACTGATAATACGTATATTCATTAATTAAATAATTTAAAATAGGTATCCTATGTGATGCTGTCATTCTCATACTTTTGTATTCAACTTTATTGTTCGCAGTCGGATATGCACTCTCCACTCTTCCCTGTTTTCAGCTAACACTTCAATTCAGTGTTACTTGATAACCTAGCATCGAAAATCATTTGTTCGACTAATGAAGTTCTCGAAAGACTTTAGTTTCTCTTTCCTTAAATTGTCTCTTCTAATCATTTATAAATTAGTTCATTTTTGTGTCTCAAAATGTGATCAATCATGTTCTATCCATCGTCTTATTTTGATGATTTTTTGGTATCTCTCTGCGTTCCTCTATTTCTCTGAGTCTGCTTTCGTTGGTACAGTATCCAACTCACTCGTAGCATCCTTCCCCAACACACCACATTTAAAAGCTTTCAAGGATTCGTTGTTATGCCTTGTTGAGGTTTCGCAGCCGTAAAATGCTACACTCCATACATATTAAAAAATTTGGTGAAATAGGGTTCTAAGTACAATCGAGGTGTGTTTCTTCAAGGTTGTTCTTCATAGAAGTTCATGTAAGTTGTAATTGTAGATAATTATTATTATATTTAATTAAGTTTTAGGTTTTAAGAAACACGACAGACCTGTAAGGATTCGAATAATTAGAAATAGATAAAAACATACATTTTTTATAGGTTTATATTTATATATATATTAGATAACGATTTATTTTAAACATTATTTTAGACGATTAACACTTAATAACATTGCTTCCACAGCGAGTTATACCCAAAAGGAGTCAAACAATCATAATTATTTTTGAACATTTATATATATATATTCATCTAAAAATATATAAAATAATAGACTAAAAAATATATAAATTCAAATTTATAACCTAATAAATAATTTATAAAATACCTTTAGTAACTAAATAGTAAATATATAAAATAATGGATGGACCAGTGTTTTTGAAGAATTGAATATCATACATAAATATGTATATAACAATATCTATTAATACTTCTAAATATTGAAGTATATTTAGGAAATGTATAATCTGCAAAGATATAATTGTATTTAAAATAAAGAACATATTTGAAATTTTTTATTATTACATTTTGTAAATTAATAATTAATTTACTTTAATATTTGAATATATAAACTGTTTTAAAGTTGGCAAATAAACAGAACATCTGAGTTTTTCAAACTTAGAATTTTTATTTCATACTGGTTAATAGTTATTCTTTTATTTTTTATTTTATGATTTTACCTATATTACTATTTATTTATGAACTTACATTACCAAATTAATTATTAATTGTTTTTGTATATTGAAATAAGCTTTGTATTATAGTATTTCATATATATTTATTAAATTGCACCTATATAATAAGATAAAATATAAATGTATATAATAAAAATATCCGTTTTAATAGACAAGTTTTAAAATGAGTTTCTGAAGTTCAAGAAGTACTACATATTACTATTTTTATGCGCATGCGTTGTCAGCAGCTCATATCCGTCCGGGATGTACAATAGCGGTGTCCTTGGCCGGGTATGGGCAATACAAAACTACCCTTTGATTACGGAAATAATACAATTCAAGTTTCATGTTATCATTTATCGCCTATATCGATTAGTACCATTACTGAAAACATTATTTAAAATAATTTTTTAAGTACAGTGAGTTTCATTTGAAAAATAACACACTGTTATATATTTAATTTATATTATGGTTTATCATAAAAATATAATAACATTTATAAAATTGAATAGTTTTTGGGGGGTGTCTAAGTTTTAGATATAAATATTTATCTTTACTATCATGAATTTTTTTGTTTCTGTTAACATCAAATAGACATAGTTTTAGTAATAGCTATAGTAAATAAAAATATTTGCGAATAAATGTAGTATACAGTGTGTGAGAAAGACGCTAATTGAGGATACTTAATAGGTGGTTGCCATTTAAGAAAAAAAAGTTGTACTACACACACATGTCTAATTAAGTTAAAAAATTTGAAGATCATAAAAATGTGTATTTTTATGTAATAAATACCAACTAAAAAACAGAATTCAAATTGCACGTCTGTACGCAGAGATATTGAGTTTTCTCAGTTCTTCATTTATACACTGTATATGATATATATCGAATCAAACATTATATAAAAAAATGTTCAACTTTTTTTTTTTTAATGTAGTTTTTTATGGAAAATACTATAGAGCCAATCAAGCGTAGACTCAAGGAGGACTAAGGGGCTTTAACCCTCCTTTGGACGTGTTATATATTATGTATGTAATAAATACTTAATAGGAATATCTTTAATTGAAGATTAATCAAAAGACTGTTTAACTTAATAACTTTTCAAATTTTACCATTTTGAAATATATTATAATTACATATGTATTTACTAAAATTATATATTTTGTCTTTCTATAGATATAAATTAGCCACTCCCATTTCATATTACTAGATCCACCCCTGGAACCAATGATAATTATATATTCATTACTATTTTAAAAATATTTTCGTTTAAAAGTATTTTTTGAACAAAAGTAGTTGAACATTTTTGTTAAGGCAATACAGAATCACTCTGTATTTCTGAATGCCACGTGTAGTTTTTCGTACTATCCCCACAACACTTGCGCATTTATAGACCTATATAGCGACCGTGACCTGCTAACCGACGCACAACCCCCGGGAATATTTTATATAGGCCTGATGTAGGCTCGTGACCCAAATCTGATCATACAGTCTGGGTCGTCCACGAGTTGTGTACGTTCTATATAGATTTGTAAAGCAGGTCATATAAATTTAAAGAGAGACAAAGCGTTGATAATAATGGTATTGATTTTACCAGTGGCGTATTTAGGTTTTTGTCATGAGGGGGGATATGACTTTTTACGGCAATTACTAACTTGAGGGGGCTACGCCCCCTCACCCACCCCAAGTTTCCAGGAATTATAAAAGCTTATTAATATTAAATATACTTTCTATGTTTGCCAAAATTATAATACACAACACATTACTTGAGATTAAATGTTTTATTAAACTAAAAATCGATTACTTATTTGTTATTACAATACAAAATCTAATTTTCTTGCTTTTTTTGATAATTTATCTATAACTTCTTCAACTGATAAGCATATGTCTCGATAAATGACAACAGTGTTAATTCATTTAAACTTGTCTAAAACAAATAATGTTATTATATTATATAATTTTATTATATTAAACCTCTTCCATTGTATTTCGCAGATAGGTCTTGAGGCGTTTTAAACTAGAGAAATTTCTCTCTGGAGTTGCTGTTTAAACAGGCAAACTAACAAATATTTTTAATAAAAAATGGATATTTCGATATACTTCTTCATTGCAATTGTCTAAAGCTTCTAATCCATTTTTAGTTAGGTTTAAGTCACTAGAGGCCAATTTCAATCTTCACATCTTGAGTTTAGCAATAATATTGTTTTTATCAATTGTGGCGAAATATAAATCAACCAAATGTTTGATTTCATTCCTGTCTTCGTCAGAAAATTTTGAATGAAATAAGCATTCAAAACCTAGTAACAAACAATTTAATTTATGAATAAGAAAAATAGATAACATTTAGAAACAGGAAAGTAATTATAATTATTAACTGAATGTTGAAGTATCTTTAACATACCTCTTAAAACATTTTAATGTTTTAAAAAACGATCATTAACTTCAGATATAAAATTGTCCAAGAAAGGTAAAAATATAGTCACTCTAAAATACTGTTCATCAGATATCATATTTGGAGGGTTCGCTCGATTTATTAGCTTAGTTGTAATTCTTTTACGAGTAATTGTATTTCCAACCAAATCAGCTGATCATAATATTTTAAATAATAATCGTCAAATTATAACGAGTAACTACTATAATTAATTGTGTGTATATAGCCTATGGGGGGATTTATCCCCTTGATCCCCCCGTAAATACGCCACTGGATTTTAAGAGTTCTATATTTTTCTGATGACCTAAATAAAGGTTAGAAATAATTTTAAAAAGTTTTTAATTCTAAAAACGATAAGTCATTAAATAATCTAAAATTATTATATTAATAATCAACAAAAATCAAAGTCAAATTTTGAGTCTTACGATAATATTTCACAATTTATGAATTTTTTTAGTTGTTTTGGTATTTGTTCGCCTACTAATGCCAATTTTAAAAATACAAAGTAAAACTAAAGTTTAGTTTAGTACATAATATCGTTTGGTGTACAACTTTTTGTGTGTTTATATTGAAAACTAAAAATCTTTATAAAAAAAATCACTATAGAACTATAGTGCACTTAGTTTCCGTTTCGATTAATGAAACCGACGAGACATTAAATTCTCTTTGAACTCTCAATATGTGCTCAAATTACTCCATGAACTATAATTAGATATTCTATACGCATTTTCCAGAAATAAAATTGTTATTCCCTTCTTCAAAAGTGTCATCTCAGGTAAAACCAGAGTACAAATTATATCTCGATTATATAATTAATCAACAATTTTCTGATTATTTTTACTCGTAATCATTTAGATTAAAAAAGTTGATAATTGATTTAATTGATATAATTTTTGATTACAACAAAAATTGATGGTATGTGGTTATATAAAGGTGACAATACATAGCATAAAGTTTTAGTTACCAAGGAATTCATATTGCTTCATAAGATAAAGAACGTTTTACTTTCTTTAATTTCTATGAAGGGTTTTTAAATATTTAGTATTGACTGTAGCATTGCCATTGTAATTATAGCAATATTATGGCAATTTAAATTTTCTTATTTTATTTTACTTTTTACAAATAATATGAAATCTATAGAATCTATACAACTTAGCATAAGCAATATATTTGAAACCAGAACAATAAACAGTTTGATGTGTGATTAAGAAGCCCATTAGTGAAATTTAGCTATGAATTAAATACAATTAAATTAAATAATTAAAAAATATCTAATTTTGCGATCTTGGGTGAGTATTTTCTGGGAGTATAGGAATGTATAACACTTTTGTTTATGTATAATCGTGTTTTTTTAATCTAGGAAAAAATTGTTTGTTAAAAACTATTGATTTTTCCTCAATTGCTTTAATTCATAGGTCATAATGGAGTGACTGGTTAAATACGTAGGGTGGACCATGTGTAATATTTTGGAATGATCGGATTTTAATTTAATTTGATTTTTTAGTCAAAGAGCTGAACTTCGTACCTCCATATTGACTTTAAAAGTGTTTTATATATTAAGAATTTGGTATAAAAGGTAGTGAATTAAATTTTTGTTATTAGTATTTTTAGTGAGCGAAGACGTGCATTGATACTTGGACGTCTTTTTTTAATATGATTTTGCTAGGTTAAATATCCAGATTAAAGCCTAAGTATTTAACAGCATTGGAAGAAGTGATTATTTTCTCTATATTAAGGGTAAATTATCAACGGTAATGTTAGGGCAGAATCCAAATTTTAGGGTGAATGTTGTATGAACGAATTTATAATGTTTCAACTTAATTCACCATTTACATATCAAATATTAAAAATATTAAGTAGATTAAAATTGATTTTTTAAATTTTTGAAGGAAAATATTAAATTATGATATTAAATATCATTGTTGAACATTTCTCATAACCTTAAGTAAGTTTTTATAGTTTTTTTTTTTTTTTTTTTTTTTTTTTTTTTAAGAATCAAAAAATAGATAAAAATTATACACGGATGTATTGTATACTATATGATTTAAAAACGTATATAATTTGTTTTCAAAATAAATTTAGTATTATCTAATCTATACAGAAAACTATAAAAGTTCTTAAAGTGGATTATATTGGTACCTACTGAAACATATTCACCATTTTAATTTTGAAAGAAACCTAGCGATTATGACAAATGTTTATCTATAATTTATTAACATAAATTGTATATGAATTTAAGAATTTCACAAGAAACTCGTTTCAATTTTAATTTTAATTTTTAAAATGGCTTATCTTTAGTCCATTATTCTTTCTTATAAAAACATAAAAAAAATTTTTTTATAAAAACATTTAATGGTGTTGTATGTTGCTAAACGTAGTTTAATATTTTGTCATTTTATGAAAATTAATTGGCTTAGAATGTTGGTTCTTATTATTAACTCAACATATTGACTTTAAAAAGATAACAAATTAAACGGAGCGTAAGAACTAACACACAAAAGTTATTCTTGAATATTGAAAATATTGAAAATACATTTAAAATATACCATAATACATATGCTTTTAAAATAATTGCTTATTCATATTGTACCTGTATTTTAGATAGTACATACAGAAGTATATTATTAATAAAGATAAAACTAATTTATGATTGTAAATTTATTTGACCAATTAAAAAATGAGTACATTTAATATTTACATTATATTATTAATATAATAATTTTTCATAGTTTTAAAAATCAATAATTTGGCAGACAATAATTTAAATGTAAAATACTGTAAATAATTTTTTATTTATTTGCATAAAACATACTTTATTTCTTTTTAATATTATAGTGATTAGAATTTTGAATGGACTTACAAATATTCTATATTCCACCAATATACGTAGCTCATGGTGACCATATATAATTTAAAGTTATTGTATAAATAAATATATTTACTGTATATTAATACCTATTACCAATAGGCTTTAACTATAAGTACATCGTATTAAAGTACACTAACTTTTTAATGTTCATTTTAACAAAAATTCAAATCATACTATTTAGTGTTTTAAATAAATAATATTATTTATTAAAAAACAGAAGTATTCAAGGTGAAATAATTGTAGATATATTTCCCGGTTTGTATTTATTTAATTGTAAATTAGTACATAGCATGTTATATAAACATAAAATGTACTATTTATGTTATACATAATTATTATTATTAAAAATATTAATTAATTCAAGTTATATGTAGCATATTTTATAAACATACATTCCTATAGTTATTTTTATCATATGAAAAAATAATTTGCTAGTAGTTCAAAGATATACGTTTGAAATATTATAATTTGTTAGAGGAATTTCTGTTTTTCACTATTGTCACTTAAACAGTGTGTACTAAATCAGTACCTAAGTCACTGTATTTTTTTGTTTTCCTATTATATTACTATTATATAGTATAATTATATAAACCGTTCAGTGTATGAAATACAATTATTTTTACAACACTGTTCTAAATCAAGTTTTAAAGTATAATTTAATGTATTATTTTAAAATAAAAAGTACATAATTGTAGCCACCATCATAAAAATGGTTAAAGAATAAAATTTAAATTATTAACAATCCTTGGTAGCTGTACCACAAATAGGGTTTCACGCTTTTACGGGGCTTAGCTTCAAAAATGTGTTCAAACCCTTATTTAAAAAAAATATTGACTTCCGTATATATAACTTTCCAATTTCCACAGATCTCTAAATTATTATAATATATCCTTAATATTTAAGTTTTGGTAGTTATTTTCTTATGTCTAATATATGAATACATATATAAATTATATACTACATTGAGGACTTGAGTGCTAAGTTCCCTGTTATTTTTTCCTTTTTGTTTTACTGCTTAGTATTACTTTTAAAGCAAATAATACCATTGTAGTTAATGATAAATCATTTAAATATCGGTTTTCGGAAATAACTCAAATAGTTCCAATTTTTATTAACATTAATAAGCCATCATTGTTACTAATCCGCTTCAGATATATTTCTTCGTTGATAACTACTTCGTTTGCAAACTTAAGTTTTAAAAGGTACTTGACCTGTATATAATATCGTCATGTTTGACGAGTAGCCAGGTGAATTCAATAATACTATACGGTTCCCCCAGCACTATATTGTGAAGTCTCATTTGAATTGGTAATTGAAAGAAAAAAATTAAATGCACCAATAACAAATAAAATAACGATATGCCTTGTAGAACAATGGGTGTCCCCCTGTATAATGCTTTCCAGTCCGTAGCGTTTATTGTAACTGTTTTTTGGGCTTTAAAGAAACCTGCTATTTTTATTGTCTATAAGAATGGTTTTTTCTCACCTACATAACCTTTGGACACTTCCGATTTAAGTACCTAGGTTTACCATCAACAATTAAATTAAAATAAATTATAAATTGCTGTGGTGTCACAATTATTTTTAAAGTGCATTATTTTAGGTTATAAAAACTAGTATTTACTATTTTAACTATATTTATATTTTCGCACAAGAATTGAAATTGCTAAGAATAACTATACAATGTAAAATATACATATGTTCCATGACTAACTTGAATGTTATACTGACTTTTTATAATCGATGGTTTGATTATTTTTTTTAAACTATACATACTAGTCACTAATGTAATATTTTTACTAAACATCACATTATATAATTTTGAAATATCTTTAATATGTAATAAATATATATAAATAGTATATATAATGTTTATACATGGAGTGATAATTTTTAAATATTTAAATATTTAAATATTTGTAAATATTAAATAAGAAATTGAAAATTATTTTCCATACGAATAGAAATTTTTTTTTTATGTTTTATGTAAGGAATATTTCATTTTTAAATTTTCTAGTACCTTGGATGAAATCTGTCTTGTATTTTATAATTTTAATTGAAATAACTACTTTGTTTATAAAATCTATAAAGAATTCAAAATATATTATGTAGATATAGTGTTGTAAAATATTTGAACACTTTATTTATGTTCAAATATTATTTTAAATATTTTTTTATTAATTGAAAAATCGTTTTTCCAAACCAGAAAATAGTTTTAAATTTGTGAAAAGTAATTTTTTTTTACTAATAATCGGGCACATTTAATATTTTATAATAATATTTTTAATGATCTTTTTTTAGTAATTGTAGCAGTTTCCAGTCCTTTCTCAATCATATTGCTGTGACAATACAAATATAGATTTTGTTATAAAAAAAAGTGTACAGATGCTGTAATATAAATACATGCAACATTATCTGATCTTTAAAATATCATACTTAATGAAAATAAGGAAAACTGTGAAATTAATAAGGATGATTTTTTTCATAGTCAAATAAAAGCTCAATAAATGTTTCTATTGAAAATGAAATATCCACGTATTTATCCAAAAGTTCTAATAAATTACTTTCATCATTAATTGAATAACCTTCAATTAAAATTATATTTATATAATATAACACTCATTTTCTAAATAGTGCATCCGTTGAAAGGGTTTTTAATGTCAGATGCAAAGTATTTGCAAAAAAAGGGGGCGTATGAGTGATGAACAGTTTAAAAAAGTTATTACACTGAAATATAATAAAAAGTTTTAGATCATTAAATATTAAAAACTACAAATACAATAACATTGTCAATTTATAAATATAATATATTGATGTATTGTTAATTATTATATTTGTATTAATTATAATAAACACTAGTTTCCAACGATTCTAAATCTGACAAAAACTAATAGGAAAAAAAATTTGTATTAGAATTCGAATACTTTTTCAATTATTCGAATATGTAGTATAATGTTCAAAACATGTTTTTAGGAACTAAACGAATAAATATTCTGAATATATGAATTCCCATTTATTTAATTATGTATTCCGAATATAAAATAAAAGTATTCTTTACAAGACTGTTTAGATAATAGATGAATTTTACGTACCTTTAGGGTAAACTTTACACACAACATTATTTACTATTCATATTTTCTTTGGTGTGAATTAATATTTCTTTTGTCCAACTGAAAAATAACAAAAACTTCTTTAAGATGTAGTTACATGATAATTTGATTAGTTATTATAAAATAGTTTTATTTAGTCGCTTCGAATATTTTAAGTCAAAGGAAAAAATTCGACAATTTATAAAACAATTCTATTTTTAACTAAAACAGTAAGAACAATCAAATTTTTTTTTAATTTCTTGTTTAAACAAATTTTTATTTTTACGATGTTTTTAAATATTACAAGTTAAAGGTTAAATTAATTAATTGGAATAGTTTACATTTGAAAAAATAAAATTAATAAATATACATAGAACAATTAAAAAAGACAATTTATATTTATTTTTTTTATTTTTTTTATTTAAGCTACCAATATAAAATTATTAAGACAATTTATAAAAATGGATTTATGTGAGTAACTTAAAATTTAGTTATAACATACACCTCGTACTTTTAATTGATTCTGAAGACTAATGAAATAATTTTTTTTTGTATAAGTATTTTGATTAATGAACCATTAAAATATTAAAATAGAAATAGAATTTTTTAAATTTTTACAATATTTATTATTGTCGTAATATAAAATGTTATAAGCTTATTGTATCAATTATAACAAGCTTTACATAAAATAATTGTATTATAAAATTGTAAATTTTTATCGTCAAATCTGTATCTAACTTCTGATGAGATTTTATATGACTATAAATTATAATGCTTTATAAATGTGGCTTATATTTATAAAAAAATAAAAAAATGGAAAAATGATAACAATTACTTTTTAGAATTGAGGGGATGCTTTATTATTTATGTTAATTAATTTTGTATAAATGTAAAAAAAAATTTCATTCTAAATCATACATTGAATATATTGTTTATGAATTAGGGTTTTTAACTTTATATAATAATTAATATAATAAACAACATAAATAGGATAATAATTAAATTTTATAGTTGTAAAAATTTAAAAATTTTTTTTTAAATATTTTATACCTTATCATACTAAATTTTTAAATTCAAAAAAGCACTACATCACCAAAAGTTTAATTAAATATGAACATTAATATTTTTATATTGAGTTTTTTCAGTTTGATACTCATTGTCAGATTTTTTTTTTTCGATACATAGGTCTTTGTTTATATATAATAAATAATAACTATTACGTTTACGAATTACTAATACGTATTATTGAACTATAACTGAATTGGTATTGTCAATGAGTTTATATTTTAATTTTCTACATATACGATGTACTGTGCTTTATTAGTCAATAAAGAGATGATAAATTTAGTTAAATCGAATTTACGTTATCTGGATCTCATAAAAAACATTACCCTGCGTGATATAGTTATACTTTAGGCCATAAGATCAATAAAATAAAATACATTTTTTCACTGAGTATGTTTTTTTTTAATCACTAATTAAATTAATCACTTTTTAATCATTTATAATGTTTTTCTATTAATTCTTTGCAAAATCAAGATATTTATCTTTTTAGAACAAATTGAAATTCATTTTTGATTATATTTTTTATATTTTCTAAATCTTAATATAATTAAAAACTCAAAATTATCTTTGAGATATTACATTTTCAAAGAATTTGTTTTCAATTTTTAATACAGACGATTTTTGTAATTAAATGAGCTTATGTACATATCATTACATTATACATTTACTTTATGGTATTATACCATATATGTATTTCATTCTTTTTAAGATAGATTGTATAATGGAATTGAGTAATGTATTAGAAAATTCTAACTCTAATCAATGAAAATGTATGTTATATTAATAATTAAATGTATATATTTATATTTAATTTGTAATTAAATCTAATTAAGGTGTATCTAATCACGCGTGACCAAAAACATATTCTCAAATATAAATTATGACGGGATTAGGTCAAATTCTGGAATAAACTGGTTTTAATATTTATACGATCCACAAACAATTTCCTAAAATATTTTATATAAAATATAAAATAATAGTAGTATAATAAAGTAAATATTTTAATATTTTAAAATAGAAATTGAAAGTTCAGAAGAATTTCATTTTTCATTCTCCTTTGATTAGAAAATTACTTTTGGTGCCTAGTGAAGAACTTTAATAGGTAAACTTTTACAATATTTTAAGTAGATAAGAAATTAAAAAGTAATTTTTAATTTATTTGATCAATACCTAAATAGGAAACTAACAAAAATTAAAAGTAAAAAATTATAAACGTAAAACTATTATTTTGTTTTAATTTAGAAAAAAATATATTAAGAAAATATTATTAAATATTTTATATTTTTTTTATTGTAAAAATTTAGATAAGTTAAGGTTATAGTATAAAATAGTAATATTTGATTATTAATTTTTAGTTTGTATATTTTATAAAATTTGATATTTTTAATCCTGAAACCAAACATTTCAATACAATTTTATTTATATATATATATATATTAACTAAAGGATAAATTACTATAATTCTTTAAAACGTACCTAAGGTATTATATTTTATATCTATTTAATATTTTTAACTTCTACGTACCTATCTCTTTGCTTTCATTATGATTTACTCTTGGATAACTTTAATATTTTTTATTTTTAAAATATAATATTTATTTCTAAATGTAGATTAAATATATTTAACCCCAATAAAAAATTAAAGCAATGTAATTTACGATCACTTATTGTTGATTTACAATTTCGAATCGTTGTTAAAATATGAAATTCTATTATTGCATAAATAATAACTTACATTCAAATAAATCTTCTCAAATGACCTTGAAACCATCAGTGAGTAATATTCATGTTAAACATCCCTATAGGATAAAATCTCACCCGAAATAAGGCCAGAATACGCAGAAAAAAGTAGCATTTTTTAATTCTTATTATATATAGTTTTATAGTAGCATACTAGTTAGTCATTGATCATTGATAATGATTGGTTTTGGTAGATAATGATATGATTTCTAGAAATGTTGAAAATAATGTAATACTAATTTATACATATATATATACTAATATACATTTTGTTATTCAATTTTAGTAGGTAGTTCATAATATTTTATCATAAATTATGAAATGCATGATACAAGCACGTCCCTGATGGTGGAGGGGGCGATGGGGGCGACCCCTCCCCGTAGGCCGTGTGGCGCTATGCATGATTTTTAGTACTATTTTAAACAAAATACAGTAAGTAAGGGTTTCTGTGTAGCGGATAAAAAATATTTCTATGCATTGTCTTTACGAGTTATAAATTGATAAAAATGAATTTGTTTATTTTTTATATTTTGTTCACGAATAAAGATATCTTTAACCGTAGTTTTATATAAAATTTCATACTATTGATTTCTCTCTATAATTTTTAATGTGATAAGTCGCGTTATCAAACCATAGAATACTCTTTAGAGTATTACTCTATGTATCATACACACCAAAATTGTTCTACCATAAATATAATCATAGATTCCAAAATATCATTGATTATGAAATATATTCCGTGATAAAAATATTGAATTGTGACGAAACACAAAATATAACTTATCTGTTTTGTAGTTTTGACGTTTTAACTTTCGTTTATGACATATTTTATGATGAATAATAAAAGAAGCGAATATGGATCGGGTATTCTTGCGTCATGGTTAAATAAGCGTCAAAAAACAAGTGAAACTAGTACTTTAAAAATAACTGAATTAGCTTCCAGTGAAGTACCAAATAAAGCTTTATCAACTGAAAATATACCATCGAGACCATCAAGTTCAAATAAATACAAGGAACATTTAAGTGCAGATATTGGTGATTATTTTGATAAACCAAAATTAATTAATGATTATAATAAGGTTAGACTTCTGGAGTTAAGTAATATTCTTGGAAATGATTTTATTTATCCGCATAGTGTGCATATTAAAAAAGGTAAGGAGAAGAAACGATTCCTGCAATGAAAATATTAGCATTAGAAAATATTATTGATCGTTTTACTGCTTCCAATAAAAGAATTTTGGATTTTGTAATTTAGTTTATAAATATGTAATTTATATTTTATATATTATTAGTACTGTATCATCATTAAATTTAGTTATTATGATTATTATATATTGGTAATTTTTTTAATTTATTAAATTTAACTTGTATATTGCATACTTGTGTAATTTTTTCAATCCCCCCCTCCCCCCATGGGATTGACCTGAAGACGCCCCTGGCATGATATTGAGTTACGTATAATTTTAAATAAAATTCCAGGTGAAAATAACCCTTCTGTCCATTAATGCCCTTAGTTCATGTACTATTAACTCCTATAAATATTAAATTAATATTTAATATGTTATTTCCAATGTAAATAAAAATTCATAATTGGATAATTTTACTTTTGTTAAAAAAAACATAAATCATAAATATACGTACAGTATACATGCTTCTAATTATGGAATAAATTATTATTTATTCTACTTATATTTAGATGTTTTATAAATTGTAAGCTTAATGATAAAGTAAAGTTAAAAACTGTTTAGAGTAGTTTCTAATGTTACTGTGACATTAAACGTTTAATTATGTGTAATAAAAATTACCTTTATTTCCATACATAAAATTACATTTATTATGTCGTCATTATATACTAATTTTGGCTTAATAAAAAATGCTTTGGTTTCGTCATGAATAATAATTTTTAATTGGTCATTAAAAATAGATAAATATAATCTTTTTAACTTAAAATATATAAGTACATAATATTATCTAATATAACTTATAAGTGCTACATAATAAAATAAGAAACGGCAAAAAATTAATTTAGAAATTCTAATTAGTTTTACAGTCAGTATTTATTGTTTTGTAATTAAAATCATTAAATTTAAAACAATAATAAATATAATTTATATATCACATGTATTTATTTCATTATTTTGTACTGTTATACGTTTGGCATGTATATAATACAATCAATAAATTGATAATAAATCCATCAATTTAAAAAATAATTTAGAATATTTATGTGTTATGATTACATAAAATAATAATAAATCGTAAATTAAATTTTTAGTTCAGTGATATATCCTTTATTACCTTTTACTTTTTAAATAATTATTTATGAGACTATAATTAATTTGAAAATAACAAGTATTTGATATGACGTGCAGTTATATCAATATAACACTATTCAAAGTAAATTCTAGTATAATTCAGTGTAAGTATTTTAAAGATAAAATTCACTAAAATGTAATGATTAAAATTATGTAAAATAGTTATTGAATTTAATTCCTACTGTAAAGTTATAAATAATTAATAACTATTAATTATTAGTTATTAGTGTAATGTCCTAAGTACATCTGTGCATTTACCAATTAATTTTAAAAATACGAAAATCAATCAGTTGTGCAATTTAAGTTGTATGATTGGGATCAAAGAAGTTAGTTTTTTTTGGCTTATTTACCATCATTGGTTAGGTAAACAGTAGAATATTTGCATGGTAAAAATAATGGAGTTAATGCTTAATCTATAAACTCCAAATGTTGCTCCTAGAATTTATTTAAAATTTAGGTGTATTTTGTAATTATATTTACGTAGGTACGTAATAAGTTTAATTTAATATAAATATAAAAGATGGTTAAATAATTTTGAAGTTTCATCATTGATTATAAATATAAGTATTTATAATCGATGGTTTCATTTATAAAATAAAATATATTATTCAATAATTTTAGAAAAACACTATCATTTTATTAGATTTAAATTTATTTTTTATACTGTTTAGATTAGATTTAAAAAACTTTATTGTTTATTTATTTATTGTATTATATTGATAAGTAGTTTATTTTAATTTCATAACGTGATATTATTATATTGTTGTACCAAATTTATGAAATTTCCAATTTGCGTCATGACATATGCTAACAGGCTAATATTATGCTATACTATGAATATATGTACTTAAGGAACGGTGTGATGCAATGGTCGTAAACTGATTTATGAATGAAATATTATATCGTTTTAACTTATAATCTTGTCTTATAGTCATAATAATATCATGGATAAATGTATACAATTTGATTTTTCATAATATTATTTTTTTTTTAAATTCTTGAACACATATTTTTCAAAATTATATTTATTATTTATTTAGGTGTCCGAATTTGCTATCACTATGCTACAGACCATAAAAATGTTATACATTGTTATTTTGTGAAACTAATAATCATAGAACATATGAATAATAATAAATAGGTCTTATGATACTGTCGTATATTTACTATATCAGTAATATAACATAAAATTATTTAAAATTCACAAGACCCGGTTCAATAATTATTAGCTTGTCAGACACTTATACAGGATATTTAAGTTTTCAATAATTAAGATATCAATTACTAATTAATAATTATCAAAAACTATATTTAATCCATGATTAACTTAATCACATTTAGAGTTCGTTGATCTGGATTCAAATCACACACACACACACACACACACACACACACATAAACATACATTATGTCTTGGTAATGTAGACGTATATCAAAATACGATCAACTATTGGCGTTTTAGAAATGTTGGATCTTAATACCTCCTCATATTCATTGTTATTAGTTTGAAATTAATATATACTTAATATTAAATTTTTATATCTCTTATTTCTTATAATATATCTCATTGATAATTATATTTCATTATTGTTCAGCAAAAAAATAATCGTATAATTTGCACGTGTCGTAGAATCACGGGATAACAATTTACCTTGATGACGACAGCTCTATCATTCCTATAAATAAAATTTCCAATAAATCTTATTAATTTTTAATTTATTTTTACATGGAAATGTAAGTACCTTTTTGCAATAAAATTTATTTATCAATTACTTTTTTATAATTACACAACTGGTTGCTGTGACGTATTTGCATATTATGCAAGGCGTGAAATACCTACTATATAAGACTAGCAACTGTTGTTAGAAGGAGTAAAAATTGTAAGTTAAATAACAACTTAGTGGACAAAAAAAATCTAGCGATACACTTTAAAAGTCCAGGTGATAACTGACACGACCTCCATAGATAAACCGGTGACAGTGGCTTATCGTGGTTTTGATTCGTACTTGTTGAGATAAGAATACTATGAATTTTAAAGCACAACCAGAACTTCTAAAGAAATGTTATTGTTCATTTTTGTCTTTCCTCGGGTTTAAATGTTTTGAGACTTTTATAATCCATTAAAACATGATAGCTGATATTGGTGACATTTTTTTTAATGATATTTTAAATTGTAAAAACATGTTAATTGTAATATAATATTACAAGACTGAAAAATCTAAGTGATGGATATATAATTAAATTAATTCATATTTCATATGAAGAATAATCAGGAATAAAAGAATACTAGAAAAATGACAGAAAAAAGTTTCTATTGTATATGGGTAAAAACAAATATTAGCTAACTCTACTATAATATTATCATTGGTAACATTAAAATTGCTTTCTAATTATGTGTTTAATGATAAACTAATAGATGTGTTAAAAGGAATTATGAATAAATAAATGTTATCAAAATTTAAAATTTGAAGTACCTTGTGACTCATAATTTACTTACATTTTTGTTATTAATACATTTTGTCATAAATTATTATTTTGTAACTATTGTAATTCTACAAAAAAATAATTATGATCATGAAACAAATTTTTGATTATAGTATGTCATTGATGGGTAATATGATTGATAATTACGATATCTAAATTCAATTATATTACTGTATTGTTTACGAATAGAATCAAAAATTAATAATTATTAACTTTTTAAGTAAATGTTTTTTTAATTTAGTGTTAAAAAGTTAATGAAATTAAATATTAGATATTTTAAAATGTTTTTTAAATACTTCAGTACTAATATCGATTACTTATTCATGGGTAAAATTAGTTTAATAACCTTTCTATGAATAATAATTATTATTAATGAGAATCGATTAGACATTAGAAGGTTAACCAACTGTATTAATAAAAAAAAAAAAAATTTCCCATGATATGGGTATAATTTCTATACCTTTTTAAATGGATCAAATTAATGATATTTTAAATTATATCTTTATATACCATCATCTAATTTAAATACGGATTTTGGTATGGATTCTGACCTGTGTTATAGGTTTTTCTGAAAATGTTGTTGATAAAAGATTAAAAATAATGCATATTTGTTGAATTTCTCAAAAATATTATTCTATACTTTTATTGGTCCAAATAATAATCATCTATATTAATATTAATAAATTGATAATAAATTATTTTATTAATATTTGTAAAATTATATTTTACTAACAACAAAAATAATGTTTTCAACAAAATGTGTTAGGCAGTTGACAAAATTGCTATGAACATGTTGGTGCTCATATCGCTTTATTCTACATCACTTCATAATTAATCATATAGCTACAGATGGTATTTTTATGTTTACCACTTAAATAAAGTTAATTTACTTTCGTTATAATTTTTTGAGTGTTTTTTTCATCATTTTAATTCCAGACGTTATTTATATATATATTGTATAACAAACGTATATTTATTTGTTAGTAAATAAATATGGGAAGAATAAGATTTTCCCGAAAATTTATTTGCGATGAATAGTATATGATATATATGACAAATTCAATCTGCATATGTTATGATTGATAAGAGTAAGCAAATAAAAAAAATTGCACCTAGGTATCAAATTTCAAAAACAAATTTGAATTATAACAGACTTATTTGTATGCAAAGTTATATGTTAAATTTTGACATTAGGTAATATCTACTTGTATATCTTTTAATTTGTCCTTTATTAACAAAATTAAAACGTTAAATAAATGTGTGTCGGAAGGTATGACAAACGTGAGGTAATTATTTGGAAAAAAATAAAATACATGAAATAAGGTTGACAACAGTTGAAAGTTCATTCTATTTTTAACTTCTCGTGAGTAGTTTTGTCAGCATCAATTAAAAAATGTAATCACAATTGAATTTCTCAATACCACAATAGCTAAAAAAAATATTCAAACTTAAGCAATGTCACAGTGATTCTATTTATATAATTATTAATTTATGTGCTAAATCTACCAAATACAAAATTAATTATCTTGTAATCTTTGAGCCTATTACATATTGATAGTTTATAATTAAAATAAATTGTTAATGTTTTTTTCTGTATCATATTCCCCCTGTATGTACAGAATTCTGTCACTTCGGGTTATTACAACAATTGGTGTTGGCTAATGACTAATTTTTTTTTCAGACAAAGAATATCAATTATTTTAAAATTATTTATTTGCTGTGAATGTGATAAAAAAAAAATTCTATAGTCTGGAATCTTCGAATTAATCCATGTATATATATATTATATATGTATATATTGTATACATTTATATATATATTAATGGAGCTAAAAATATATAACATTTCATCAATTGAGAACGGCTGGGCCGATTTGGCTCAAAATTTTTTTAATTGTTTGTAATTGCCAGGAGGAGGTTTGTACAAAAAACAATTTTGGAAGAGTGCTATTGTTTAATAAATCGTAGTTTAATTTAATAATTTTTGACCCGGTTGATAACTGCGCAATTGAAAATGAATTATTAAATGAAACTATTAAAAACTTTATAAAATGTATTAATTTTATTTTTGATATTAAATGACGGTTATTGCATAAATATTAAAAACAAGATCCCGCAACAGGTGCCAAAACAAACAGGAATGTTAGTTCGAAGGATTATTATGCATATCGGTTGATGATTAGACGCGATCAGGACAAGGTTATTCTACGATGTTGTGAGCTTTGTCAACAATTCATGTTCGAAATGTATGTAAAGCTAGAGAGCGAACGATTAGATACTTGAGATTTAATCAAAAAAAGCTGCGTGCTAAGGATTCTCTAAACAATTGTTAGATATCGGTGATGGGAAAGTTACCACAGATGAAATACAATCACCTACCGATTTTTGTACAATCATTGATTCGCATGATACTCTCATTGACCAGATATTTCCCAATGTATACAAATCACGAGTGGCTGGCAGAAAGAGCAATTTTAGCAGCAAAAAATGTGGACGTCAACGAATTGAATCTCAAGATACAACATTTGTTACCAGGAGATTTGGTGTCATACAAATCTATTGATACAGTTTGCGATGCTACTGAAGCTGTAAATTATTCCGGTGATACCCGATTGAGCACGGTTGTTATCGGCCGACCTTTTTGACGACCCGATTGAGCATGGTAAAAAACAATGTACTCGGTGTACAATGTTGTCAGATTGAAAACTAACTATTAGGCTAGTAACACACTAGCGTTATTTTACCGCGCGACATTTTTACCGCGCCGTAATTTTACTGCGCCTTGTATTAATGTACATTAAAATGAATAGAGCACAACACACGAAAAAAAAATATTATTATCGGGTCAGCTAGTTATATATAAAAATGGAGCCAAAAATGTATAACATTTCATCAATTGAGAATGGTTGGGCTGATATGGCTCAAACTTTTTTTAATTGTTCGTAATTGCCAGAAGGTTTTTACAAAAAAAAAATTGAAAAAGTACTTTTATTTAATTAATCGTAGTTTAATTTAATAATTTTTGATCCGGTCGATATCGGTGATGGGAAAGTTACTACATATAAAACGAGATGCATAAAATTACCTACCGATTTCGGCACAATCATTGATTCGCAAGATGTTCTCATTGACCAGATATTTTTCAATGTACACAGACAATACACAAATCATGAGTGACTAGCAGAAAAAGCAATTTTAGCAGCAAAAAATTTGGACGTCAACGATAAGCGCGGATCTAGAACTCAAATTGAGGGGGGTTCATTTTTTCGAAAGTACAAAAAGATAATACACAATTACATAATAATAAAAGTAAATTATTAATTCAAATTAGAAAGTTATGAATATTTGAAATTATTAATTTTTAAAATTAAATAACAAAGTTTAATCTACATTGTTTTATTTTTCCAAATTTAGAAATTATATTATCAACATTTATGTGTATATTCTTATCAATATTGAACAAAGCGTTCCTTTCCCATGTTTAAACGAAGCCATGAAACCTTAAGCCTTAAAACGTCTGAGAGTAAAGAATGATCGCATGTATAGTATTTTTTAACAAGTTATTAGAACCTAAATTAGCGCTTAGCAAGTATATGGTATAATATTATATAAATATACGGATAACGGATTGGGAATAACCGAATTGGTTCCCGTTTGTGTATAGATAAGGCGAGCTAGTGCATCGAGAGCATAAAACAAAATTTTAAAAGCTATATGTATGACATATAGATACAATTATTATATCGATAAAATAGATTATAGAAATATAATAGATATAATATAGATTACTACATACTAGCAAATTACTAGCAAACAGGAAAGAAATAACAAATACTTGGAAAATTGTATGACTGAGTACATTAATGAGAAGATTACGAGAATTGAATATTTAAAGAAAGTTAGCTTCAAATTTTCAAATCAGTGGTTTTAAAATGTATTTATTATATTTTACTATTTGTATTTCGTCCACCTAAGTGATGACTAGTTGACTTCCAAATCAACGATATAAAATTGTATATTTTTATCATTTTTTTTTTAACATACATTAACGCATATTAACCAAGCTTACTTTAAAGTTGATAGTCCTAAGCCTGTAAAATTGAGAAGGAAAATGTGCGTAGTTAAACGGAAACCAATTCGGCTATACCTAATAAAATACCTTTTTCAGATGAGTACCAATTCGGCACGTGGAGTTGGAGCTCGAAAACCAATTCGGTACCAGCCAACGAATCGACAGTAATCTTATCTAAGATAAGCTATCTTTCCGTCAAAGGTCAAACACTCAAAAATTTCCGCAGATTTACTATTATATTTATATTTATTCGCCAACAATATTATAGCCTATCGGTAATTTAATAATCACTATTCTTAGAAGTTGGATAGAAATTATGATTTTATGAACAAGTGATGATGTAGTTTAAATTTATATAAATATAATATATTGTATAACATTTTTATTGTAAGAAAAAATCTAATTGAAAAAAAATTAAAAACGCATTTTATGCATATTTTAATTTATAAATTAACACGAAGGATTTAATCTTGATGTTTTTCTGGAGAGGGTCATGACCCCCATGACCCTCCCCCTGGATCCGCGCCTGGTCAACGAATTGAATCTCAAGATACAACATTTGTCACCAGGAGACTTGGTGTCATACAAATCTATTGATACAGTTTGCGATGCTACTAAAGCTGTAAATTATCCAACAGAGTTTTTAAACTCATTGGATTTACCAGCAAGCCATCATATAATTTACAATTGAACTTTGGATCTCTGGTTATTTTGCTTCGTAATTTGATCCAAACATGATTGTGAAATGGTGCGCGATTAGTCATTAAAAAATGAATGAAAAATGTTATCGAAGTCATCATTTTAAATGGCAAATTCCGAGGTGAAAATATATTATTACTGCGAATCCTTAATTTACCCACAAATGTGCCAATACAATTTAAACGCCTTCAATTTCCAATTGGATTGGCATTTGCAATGACTATCAATGAATGATGAGTTTATTACCAATTAAATACAAAATCTTAAAGTATAGGTGTTACCTAACTGCATTATATTTATTAGTAATTAACGGTATTTATGAATAATCATTAATAACTCATAAAATATTTCTACAGTAATTCAAAAATTAAAACTTTATTTCACTGTGATGCGTATTGTGGTGTTATAAAGAAATATTCAAATAGTTGAGGAGGACAGTCATATTTAACTAATCAATGTTTGACTTTAGGACTAATTTTTTTAATTTGTGTGTCAAAGGGGGCGGAACAGCTATATTTCATATTTGATAATATGCATGCACATATTGTTTTAATCACATTGCGATTGTTTACACGACCTAGAGTTTGTTGTACTGTATGTCTGGCATCTGCAGTGTCTATGATAATATTACTATGACTTTAGTATAATTGGTTTTACGAATAACATCTGAAGAATATTTAAAATATGGCGTACTAATGTAACGTACGTTAAAATATTAAAAACTCAAAAAAATTTTCATTAGTGCTTCGATTTATGAATGTTTGGCAGTATTACTCATTTAAAATAATAACTGGTTATTATTTTATCGTACATAAATATTTTAAAAACAGCAAAGATTAAATTTTGCATACTACCGTTCAATCAATAAGCTCTAAACTATATTAACGTATTTGATCAAATAAAATATCCACAATAAACGTCTATAATAAGCATATAATTAATTTGATAGTATAATAAAGTCGGTACACTTAAGAGAGCTACACGTGCGTTTTTATGTTCATTGTAAGCCACTTATGTCATGCTCGAAGACACGGAGTTTTTTAATTTATACAATCAATATCATAGCAACGATTTATTTATCACTTATTTCCAAGTTCATTCTCTATACTACAATCCTTTCATATTTGGAGTTAATAATTAATTTTTCGTGTAATGCAAAACACATGCAGTCAAGTCGAGATAATTCAAAATCTTCAATAACTCAATATTTTTACTTCTCATTTAAATTCAAGTTATAAAGATTCCAGTCTCGAATTGAATTTCTATTTTTATGTGCTAAATTTATATAATTGTATAAGTATCATTGTACTTGTCTTATATCAATGCCTTATAATTGTCAAAGTATTTTAGTTTAAATTATAAAGAATTTTTTAAGAATTCAGGAAATAGTTTTTTATTTCGAATTATCTTCTAACATAATAATTTAATTACAATTGATTTATTTTAATAATTTACTTATTATTGTGTTCTTAATAATATAAAAAGTTATATTCTCGTTATTATTATTCGTTATATTATTAGAGTTATGTTCTACAAGGATTTTAAATTATAGGCTTTAAGAATTGTTTTACAATTTATTAAGTTCACTAGTATTTAGTTATACTAGTTACCATAGGTACTATTATTTTGTTATTATCATAATTATTATTTTGTTTTATTATGATTGCTATTCGATTAAAGAAAATCAGTGGTGTATTGTGTGATCAGCTAATGTCATATTTTTTTAAAAGTTAAATTCTTGCAGAACAATTAATTATGGTCTACGGATACATCTATTTATTAATCTATCTAAAACTGCAAAATTATTGTATTGATTGTTTTAACTACAAATTGTTAATAAAGCCTTTAAATTGAAATTTGTTGATAAGATCCGAAAAAGTTTTACATATTTTTTAAGTTTCATGAAATTAATTTCTTTTCAAATAATAATATCTATTTTTAAAATAATAAACTGAATTCTATTAATTTTTGAAAATAGGTGTAGTAATTTATTTACTATGTTTCTACAAACCTTATTTACCGAAAGTTAATAACCATTTTAAAGTCATTTAACAATGTATACTAATAAGTATATATAATTAATATAAAATAAATCAAATATTTCTTTACATTATACTATCAAAACTTAATCTTTGCTACTTAAATTACTTTTATTCTAGTAATCTTATTTCATTGAGATTGCAGTAATTTCAAGAAGTTGCTATGTTGATATAGCAAATGACAATTTATTTTATGCTTATTATTTAATTTCAAAATATTTTTAGTTTTTTTCTAATACATTATTTTCAAATTAAAATAATTTTTGTACAGTTCTAGAATTAATTAATGCCTTCTATAGTTGTATTATAGTAATTTTATGTAAATTGATTTTTTTTTTTCTTGGGCTTGGTAACTTTTCAGAACATAAATGTTAAATATTGATTATTATATACAATGTTACGCGAAAGTAAAATACTAAAATATGGAAGAATACCTAAAAATTATATTTTTTGTATTTTTTCGTATTTGTCATAGGTAGCTAAATTATTTTTAAATTTAATTTAATTAGAATTTAATTGAAATACTAATTGTATAAATGCATAATATAATAATTATATATTCTTTATATGGTTAATATATTTTCTTCCAACAACTTTAAT